ATGTGATGGCTTTGAATTCTTTCCATAGGTACATCAAGCTCCGGTATCCAGTAAACTTTGAGGCTCTGGTGTATTCCTTCCAGCCTGAAGATGAAGTCATGGTGAAGAAGTGGGCACAGGAGAAGAGAAGTGGATAGGGCCATTCCAATTGTTACTGATTGCTTCCACTGCTGTAAAAGTTGACAGACTACTGACGTGGATTCATTATCCACATGTGAAGAGAGCATCAAAGACTGCTGAGGAAGAAGAGGAAGGACAGTGTAGCAGCTACAGTGTAGCTAGTCCTACTGGGAGAAGGGACAGCCAGAAGCAGACGTGGGGCATGGAACCCATGGATGGCTTGAAGTTTCTCTTCGGGCATAAAAGTTTGAGAGAGACTATCAGTTGTAGTACATTCTGATCATGGGGGTGAGGATGTAGCTATTCTCATGTGAGCTTTGGGCTATTGAAGATGGGGGGGGGGTAGCTCAGACAAATCTAAGTATAATCCAACCACAAGATTTTTATCTCAGCACAAGTTGGAAAGACTCTGAATGCCAAGTTAAAGGTTCAAGCCCACCTGGACTTGTGAAACGGTTTTTAGGGAAACATTATCATCAGAAGCTTGTTTATGCAGATATTGGATTATCTGTGAGGGCCATAAGGGATGGTAAATACTCTAACATGGATTTCTCTATCATCCAAAATTATTTACTTAAAAACTTTATATACTATCTAATTATTATAAAATCCCAACACAGTTTACAATCAAAATGTGACCTTGAAGGATTTAAAAGAATCAGGCACTTACTATTATGTGAAACAGAAGAAGACATCACACCATGATGTAGATGTAAAAACTGGACATGAAACTCAAGTGGTTGTACACAGAGAAATGTTGAGTATCAAGGAGCATAATGGGGTGGATCAAATAGTCATGCTGATGCAGTAGCAGTTAAGTCTAACTGCTGGATATGTTTATACCTGGAGGATACAGGGAAGGCATCATTTCCCTTCAGAGCAATCCCCTTATCTGCCCAAGTAGTAGCATCAGCAGACCTAATGTTTCAAGAAGGTACTTTTTGAAAATGAGATGTGGAATTATTTGGAATTGCAAAATTAGAACAGGATGGTTACATAAGAATGGCAGCTTTATAACTTGGTTCCACTCATACCGGAACACAAATGTTCTAGTGTCAATACAAATCTTCCCAATCCCAAGGAGGAGAATGAGGAATTGGGAGTAAAATTGTGGGAAATGAAAGCTAACCAAGAAACCTGTGCCCCTTACGGGAGGAGCTATTATTATAGTGATTCATGTGAACCTCACCTATGGACAATCATACTACCATTAATGGTTCATGGGCAAAGGGAATAAAGGCCTAAGTAGGGCACTATTTAGGGACTGCAGGTGGCACAGTTGTTTAAACCCCTGTGCTGCTGGGCGGGTTGATCGAAAGGTCACCGGTTCGAATCTGCACAATGGAGTGAGTTCCCATTGCTCTGTCCCAGCTCCTGCCAACCTTGCAGTTTGAAAGCATGCAAATGCAAGTAGATAAAAAGGTACCACTTCAGTGGACAGGTAGCAGCGTTCCGTGCAATTCGGTGTTTAGTCATGCTGGCCACATGACCACAGAAACTGTTTGCAGACAAACATTGGCTCCCTCGGCTAGGAAACAGAGATGAGCACCGCACCCTAGAGTCAGGCATGAGTGGACTTAATGTCAAGGGGAAATCTTTACCTTTACCTTTACCTTTACCTTTACCTTTAGGGCACTATTTTATTTGTGGCAGGAAGGCATATAAAATACCACATAGAACTTGATATGGAAGAGGCTATGTTGGATCTGTTCTTCTTCTCTTCACTTTTATTAAAAGAAAGAATCTTCCTATTTATAAGCCAGTCTTGCACATCGCTGAGCAACCCTTACCAGCACCAAGTGCAGCCTTTTCTAAATTGCAGAAAAAGATAGGTAAGCTAGAACCCCATAATGAGGTTTGGTACAGAGCTCCTGGGATTCCCTTTTTGGGAAGTCAACAATTATCATGGAAATGTTTGAGAATCCAGTATCAGTTGGAGATCTTAATCAGAGACGAGAAACTTCCTTCTCATAGGAAAGGACAGCTTCATTCCCTGGCTATATAGAACTGCCTGGCCTTGGACTACCTTGTACTTTTTGAAGGCGAGGTATGCCGAATACTTAATTTAACCCATACTTGTTGTAAACAAGTGGATGATAATGGGAAATTAATTGAAAATACAGGTCAATGAATTTTGAATCCTACCACTTCGCCCCATGTTTAACAAAAGTGACAGAGTTTAACCTATGGATATGGTTAACTGGTTGGATTCCTGACTTTGGATAGCCTTCTCATATATTTAAACTAGGCTTGTTTATCTCAGCTATTCTGTTAATCTCTTGCTGCACAATTCAGTTATTACCTATTTGTGGAAAAAGCTTACGTGCCTTATTTGCATACCCCCTGAGGTCAGTGCACTATGCTAGAGAGAGGATGAGCCAAGCATATGGATCCTATTATATGCGCTGAGTGAGTTATAGATGGGAAAAAGAAAATCTCCTTAAGACTCAGAGCGGGGGCTAAAGAAAACAAATGATGGTTTCTGAATGAGTAAAGCAGCCCCAAGTTTCAAGCGTGCAGGACACATATGAATTGGTAAGGGAAGCTGAGGTAATCAGAAACAGGACCAGTTCAGGACTGTGTTCTCCATGAGAACTATGGGGCTCAGTTTGTCACCAGCCCAATATATAGTGAAGGTGACAAAGGACTGCTTCAGGATGAGCTCAGGCAGCTATAAGCTTCAAGCATGCAGGACATGTACAAAGTGATAGGGAAAGCTGAGATAACTGGAAAATTTCAAGTGCCATGCATAGTTTGCAGATGGTACAGGTAAGAGCCTGAGCAAATGTTGATTGGTAGAAGTAGTTATGAGCAGGTAATCTGCATTGCAGCAAAATGTAGCCAACCAAAGCAGAGCCTCTTAAATCCTTTCTGTAAAAAGCTACACAAAATGTGTGAAAGGTATGAGCAGAGCTCTCTGTGACTGACCGTTAGGTGCAGGGGACCTTTACTTTGCAAAATAAATCTTTTCCACTGTTACTCCCTTGTCGTGTATCCTTGAGCTGGCACACCAGGGCAGAACCCCACTGTGGTCAACACTCCCTCACCACATTAAGGTGTGCATCTAAGAGAGGAAAGCAATTAGTTTAGCTGCTGTTAAGTGTCTTGTGTGGTAAGTCCTGGCACTGTAAGGGCACAAGCCTGTATAAGTGTTCTGGTTCAGGCCACCTGGGCATTAAGTAGACTAGCTTAGCAGCATGGGAACAGAGGCATCCATTGTCTCTAAACAAGGCTGCCGTGTATTCATCACACTAGGAGAGATAAGAGCATGGCACTTTGCAAGCTTCCACTCTCACAAGTAGGGCACCTGGTAACACAGTTTTGCCCTATAAAAATATGAGTCCATAAGACATGGTTCTTCACCGTGAGAGACCTGCTGCAGTGACCCTTGGCTTGGTCCTGAATAAAGCTTTTGCAAGGACAGTCCACCCTGGTGTGGTCCTTGAAACTGCGACCAGGACATATGTTTAGCCAGAAAAAAGTCCTACAAGTTCCAGCATCCCCCAGCCAGCCATGCTGGAAATTGCGGAATTTTCTGTCTATGCATGCATGGGTTGTCGTCGTCGTCGTCAACCATTCAGTCAGGTCGGGCCCTTGGCCACTCTATGGATCATTGTTCTCCGTGCCTCTCTGTCTCGCACTGCTTCCTTCAAGACCACTGTGTCCATCCCAGTGTCTTTCTTTATGGTGTCCAGCCAACGGGTACTGGGGCGGCGCCTTCTCCATGTTCCCGCTGATCACTCCCAGCATGATTGACTTTTCAAGTGAGTCAGCTCTCATGACATGGCCAAAGTATGGCAGTCTGTCTTGGTTGATCTTGGGTTCAAGTGATATTTTGGTGAAGCTCAATCAAGGACTTCTTTATGATTTTTGCATACCATGGGATGGCACAACAGTCATTTCCGGCACCACAATCTGAAAGCATCCACCCTTGTTCTATCTGCCATTTTCAGAGTTCAAGTTTCACAGCCATACATGGCAATTGGAAAAATTATTGTGTTGACCCAATCTGCATTTGGTAGAGAGGCTGAGGTCTTTCCTCTTCCAGATGTCATTCATGCTGGCCATTGCATTCTTCCAAGTGCTATGCGCCTTCTGATCTCAGGACTGTGGTCACTACGTTGATCAATTTTAGATCCCAGCAAGTTGAATTCCTTTTCTGTTTTGATGGTTTTATTGTTATCTGCCCTCTGACCTATGCATTCTCTGCAGTCATCATTACCTTTGTTTTCTTGGTGTTAAAGTGTAATCCAAATTTTTCACTTTCATTTTTGACTCTAGCTATTTGCCACTCCAGATCATCTTTGCTTTCTTTGTACCCTAAATCTTTTAAATCAGATGGTTAAACACTTTGTTTAACATATTTATTTATTTACTTATTTATAGCTTTTATATGCCGTCCTTCACGAAAAAGTGTCAGGACGGTAATACAATGAAAAGAAAAAGCACCTCGCACGAAGGTCTCAATTTCCGAGGATTCAACCAAAAGGCGATGCAAATAACGTCTGACGGGCCGTGCCTCGCTTTTTTTTTTCCCTCCTGGAGGATGTTTATTGAGAAGGAAGCGCCATCTCTTGCAGCCATCTTTCGAAGAACTGCGCTTAGATTTGCTGCTCGGGCCGCTTATTTCATTTGCTTGGGAACTAGAGAACTGACTTAAAGCAGAAGCGCCATATCCTCCGAGCCCGCTTCTCTGGGCTTCCCCCGCTTCGCGACAGACGGGAAACATTCGGCGCCTCCCATACGGGGAAAAGACTACATTTCCCGAAATGCTCTGTTCCCTTCTAGGGACGATGTGACCGTTCGAGCCGCTTGGCTCTGCTCAGCGAGGCTGAGCGCCAGGAGGCCAGATGGGACGAGGCCTGAGGAGCGCTGCGTTCGTGCACTTTGCGGAATTGCAGGACGCTCCCTGGCTCGCCGCGTCGCCGGCCTGAGAGCAAACGAGGGCTGCTTTCCAGGCCGGGCGATGAGTTACCTCAGCGGAGGGGCTGTGAGGGCCCTCCTAGACATGTAAGTGGCCCGCGGTGGCAACGGACTCCTCACACGACGGCTCCCTGTGCCCCATAGACTCGCTTCCCGGGCGTCAGAGCCCCCTATTTCATCACTGCTCCTAATCCCTGCTCTTGATCATCATCGTTATTTATTTTATTAGATTTTTATCTAGTCCCATAGCCAAAATGGCTCTGCCGCACTCTTTCTTTTGCGTCCATACCCAAGTCCTTTGTTCCCCGTTGTTTCCCACGCCCTTCGCTGCCCGTCTTCCACAAACTCCGGTTAGGGTTTAATCACCCAGTGTGCGCCTTCTCAAACAAAGCAGTAACGACGGGAGTGTCTGAGCATGTATAGGAACGTTCCCTTCACCCCCGAGGCGATATATCGCGCGGACCGCTGTACCTGCGTCCTTTGAAATACACTTTGTGCAAGCAAGATCTCATTTCGTGGGGGCACCAGAGGAGGGCCTCTGGAAGTGACCCTATCTGGGCAGGCATAGATGGAAGGAGATGTTCCGTCATGCAAGTTATTTGGCATTTCCTGCCGCTTACTTTCGAGTAAAGATTACATTGCCATTTTTTCCTGCTCTTCTGTGCTTTTAAATCACAGATATTGGCAGATGCTCGTGTCCTTACTGTTGAAAATCTTTACTTGCTAATTTATGTAGATTAAAGCGATATTAGCGATGAGGAAGCCCCAGCAGTACTGATAGCTTGCATAGCAGAGCTGCATAGAAAAATAAGATGCAGGTGGGCCATGACAGCTAAGCTCCACAATAAAAGCAGAATACTGGCTTAAGGATGCTTGCTTCAGATAAGAAACTGCAGCCATGTGATACTTTGTTTACCTTGTAGTGTAAAAAGAAGAGCCAAGAGTAACTAGGGGCCTCAGTCTGGAGTTACCCACTTTGTGCTTTTATTCTGTCAAAATACATTTTCAAATCTGCACATTCTGTCATGTTCTTTATTGGACGACAGCATGCCAGACCACAGACGTGTCCACATTTGAACAAAAAAAATCAACACCCCAGATAGGATTCAAACCCACAATTCCAGGCTTAGGAGGAGACTTGCTGTGCAAAATGAGAGCAATAGAAGCATATTTGGACAGAAGAAGCACAGAAAGTGATTGGTCTGAAATTTTTGGTCAGTTGGCAACCCTGAATTATTAGTATATTTTATGTCACAATATCAGAAGACCCTTTACATTGCCAACGTTTGCTTCGGCTGTGTGTCAGACATGTTCTTCAAAACATGATCTTGGTCTGCAATGGCAAATCTGATGCTTTTACCTAGTTAGCACCCCTTCAGGCACAGTTCCACTCTGCTATGCTCGAGTTAAACTAGGAAGTGACAAGGAAGGATGTTATATTCTGTGCATGTTTTTATGTCCTTGGCAACAAACCACTAACCAAAGTACGTGACAGACTACAGTTCCGGATTGGTGGTGTTAGCAAGCATACTGAAGAACAATAGTAAGGGTTAGAAAATACCTCTCAAAGAAGATCTGACTTGCCTTTTTATAAGTTTATGGATAATTGCATTTCACTTACTGTATATATACTTGGTGCTGGATCTGGGCAAAGAGCTAGCTGGTCATCAGCAACAGAGGCTGACCAGATATATCTAGGACATAAATAAATAATATGTCTAGGACTCTCACAAGCAGAACAAAATAGTAATGGGGGTGACCAAAGCTGTTCTGTTTTTTTCTCCTTCAGGAACCCTTTACCACGTTGATTCATCTACTTATGATCCATTCTGTGTATTTTATTATTTATTGGATTATATTTTTAAGACATGTTTGGCTATTCAAATATGTCTCCAAAGTAAAAATGCAATAGAATATAGAGTACAAAAATAAAAATAATCATACAATAAAGATTGCCATAGCATGCAAGCACTTCACAGAAGACTTGGGAGCATCTTCAGGTCTCACTAAAGCCAGTTTGCTGCATGAGGTAAAGCAGAAGATGCCATCCTATATTCCACATGTAAAATCCTATCAGAACGGCAGTTGAATCTTATGTCAACACTGCCAATAGGACAGCATCTTCCAGTGGAGGGCAATATATTAACTTAGGATTGTAGAGGGAATGGGGTGGGGTGCAGCTGCTGTCCTAGAGCCCAGTATTTGTACTCTGACACATTTTTCTTTTACAGGGTCATTCTTCACTGTATGATTTTAGCAGTTTCTCATTTTTAATGTTTTTATAAGGTTTTATGAATTGTATGGTTTTTATGTACTGTTGTAAACTGCTCAGAGAGCTTTGGCTATGGGGCAATATAGGAATTAAATAAATAATCAGCTATGTTGGGCTACAACTCCCCAGCCGATATGTTGAATTGTACTTCAGTTCCAGGGAAGGCTATATTCTTGTATAATTATGCCACAGTCACCAGGGAAATGTGTTGTCTGAGAGGTTTTAATTCCTTTTCTCTCCTCAGATGCCTTGATACCTTCACAAGAAACATATCCAGATATGCTGCAGATATTAAGCCTTTACCACCAAACATAAAAGATAAACTAATTAAATTGCTTAGTGTTCAAGGGCGGATAACTGATTCAAATATTAGTATGGTAAGACTCCATTTAGACCGTGATTGTTTACCACATTCTCATCATTGGCTGGATATGAATGATTGGGGAAGAAAAATAAGTTTTGACAGGTTTTTTTCCTTTTCTGTGCTGGGAGTGAAACACCTCATTTCTATAATTATCACACAGCATCAGGTCGTTCAAATGCAGTGAGATAGACAATTCAGGTGATTTCCAAACCTTCTTTGCTTATTTTAGGGTTCTGGGGTCATTTGGAAACTATTCCTTCCCTCACTGGGTTTTAATAATGTGGCAACCTGCATGTGGCACAGGTAATTACAAACCTGAGGGAGCACATTGCTTCTTTTTCTTCCCAGCCACATGAGTCCATTGATTATATCTTATAAATGGAAAACTAATCATTCTTCTTTGATCCAACTTACCTCAGCATTTGGCTAAGGTAATGATAAAACATGGGTGCAAGTCCTGGAGGAGGTAGCCTCAAATACATCCCTTGCACCTAAGCAAAGTTTATTAGGTATCCTTAAGGCAAAATGTCTAAAAATGTGGTGAGACAGAACAGCAAAGAGACTTAAAGACTGAAAAAATTATTATTGGCATAAGGTTTTGTGGAGTGCAGTCCATTTAATTAGATTTATTTATTTATTTATTTATTTATTTATTTATTTATTTAAAGCTTTTCTAACCCATCCCCTACAAACATCTCAGGATGGCTTACAATAAATTTATAAAATGATAGATGTATAGAATGTAAATGTTACATTTATAAAATGTTATCCTGTCCTAATTGTGGTTGCAGAGAGGATGGATTGAAAGCAGTGAGGTCAGAGGGAAATTAAGTGTTTGAAGTACTGACAATGACAACCACATTAATTAACAGTGGCCATTCAGAAAACATCCGCTGTTGTTGATAACACAAACATTCTAACATTTAAGCCAATTAACACATGTATTATGAGTAGCACAAAACAAACAACCTTTATCCTAACACAAGCTGCGGGAGATAGAACTGAGGCTCTTCATCAGTCCTATCTTCCATGCCCTGAATTGAAATAAAGGCGTTTTAAAACTCATATTGCGTGTGTTAATTGACTTACTAAGGTTCAGGATGTTTGTGTTATTAGCAATAGCTATTTTGTGAACAGCCATTGTTAATGAGATTGTTGTTTTTTCTGGGTCCTGGCACTTCACTTCCCTCTGACCTCACCAATTAAAATCCCTGCCCTTCTGCACAAACCAGGGTTACAACATGTCATGCATCTGTTCATGCAGTCCACAAAAGCTCATGTTACCAAATGGATCAATGCTTAGCCAATATTTTCAGATGCTAACAGTGATGTCACCATTACTTAGATGCAATAGATCATGTGACCACAGTCCAAGAATGCTAAAATAGAGTAGCTGTCAAAGCTTCTACTTTCGGGGCACCTTTTCCTCTTCAGTGCATCTGCCATACCATTTCACCTTAGTGTAGAGGTTTCTGGAACTGGTCTGTAAACCAGGGTGTCCTGCTTAATTCATCTAAGGCTCTGACCTAGCCTGTTGGGCCTCACATTCACTGCATGTGGACTCAAGAGTGTGCCCGAGAAAGCAAACAGTACTGCCCTAGAGGATTAATATATCTCAGCAGCAGACAGAACACAACAGAACAGTAGCAATAGGTGAAGAACACACAGGAAATTTTACTTACTCATTAAAGTAACCCCATCTTTCTCCATAAGAGAAACTAGGGAATCAAAAGTTTTAAAATGCTTCTTTCCAACATGAAAATCTGCTCATAGTGTACAGTGCTAAATGCCCTGCACCTTTGCCTAAAACAAAATAACTGTTAGAGTTAGTCTTGCTGGATGAGCAAGGAGACAGGTCACAAGCCTTATGGGTGTGTTTGTTTATTTTGTTCAATGTATTTATATCCTTCCAAGGAACTCAAAGCAGCTTTGCACAATTTTTTCCTCCTTTCAATCCTATTTTCACAACAAAAGCTCTGTGAGATAGCTTGGGCTATGAGTTTGTGATCAGTGCAAAGTCACCCACTGGGGTTATTGCTCCCATGCTATCTTAATTCAAGAGATTATACAAGGTATAAGGTTCTTCACACTCTCAAAAATCAGGAAGTATGGATGTGAATGATGTATATTTTCTGTCTCACTACCTACATATGTAAATTGATGACACTTATGTGTCAGTTAAGGACTCTGTATTTGTTCTATCTTTCAAGTAATAAAAGTATCCTTTGTATTCCAAGAGTGCCCAGGCTGGCATTATTAAAGAGAATAAAGGAATTTACACACTCAGGACAAACACATGACCTAATTCTACCAAACATGTCAAGGGGGTATAGACTTTACACATGGGTACCCACCCAGACATAAGCCCAATTGTAACTCTCCAGTCCAGTTCCCTTTTATACCTCTATCTACTACAGAGTTCCACAGGGATGAACTTGTGATAGATACTAAAACCAGTCTATAATTAGGGGTGCTATGTATTCTACCACAGAGAATTTGACTTCCATGTTTGCATTTTAGGTTTTGCACCCTGCAGTGGAGGCACTGGACTTGCGAGACTGTGATATTTCAGATAATGGCCTGCAACAACTTTACAACTGTAAGCAGCTCAAAAAAATAAACTTAAATGTTTGGAAAAGAACCAGAGCAACCATCACCTCAGTAGGTATGTTTTCTGTCTTTTAGTAATTTGAAAAAACTTTGGGGAAATTACATTTTCAAGGTTGTTGATTTTTCCAAACTACTTTTTAAAAAAAGTTTTAAGCAAGTAAATGAAGCACACAGAGGACTGGCTTCATTTCTGTGTTTCTGTTCTGTGTATCTGTGTATCACATTCCCTCTCTTTTAAGCACTTTTATATGACAGAAGAAGCTGCCTTTTGACAATCCTGTGCTGTCCTAGTCCAGAACATTGTCTGCTATGACTGGCAGCAGCTCCCCATAGTCTCGACATAGGTCAGCTTTCACCAATCTGATATTCTCTAGCTTTTTGTTGGCGTCCAATCCCCATCATTCCTATCTGAGAAAAGTGGAAATTGCAGTCCAACAGAGCTGGAGGACACAGGCTGGGGCAGGCTGTTCTAGACAGGACAGCTATGTACAAAACTTTTTAACTAGAGATGCCAGAAACTGGACTTTAGACCTTCTGAGTGCAGTGCTCTATCCGTGAGCTCTCTCTCATCCTTCCCACAACTGCAGTGTTGATTCTAAGTTTCATCAGAGACCTTTCTCAGTTCTCAGGGATCGCCTGCCATCTGGAAGTGGTGGGTGATCAGAGAGGGTCTTTTCATGTGATGTTAGTCAGAGGTACCATTTATACAAACAGAAAAGGAAGATTTAAATGGGCAGAGTCTAGCAAGGGTTAAGATTAAGCCCATATGGAGCTACAACTTTAAACTCTTTTAACTCTGAATTGAATCACAACCTTTCTTAATAGAGCATAATATGTATCATTATAGTTGGCAAAATGTGAGTAAAAGATGCCCAAGGTTTAAAGATTTAGCAATAGTCTTACTTGAGATGTTGGTACCCTTAAGTTTTGCCTGTAATGTTTTAATGTTGGCACTGAAAATGTTTCAATATGCTGCCTTAAGGTAATGATTTCTTCTTACACATTCAGACTTCTTGAAGTAAAAGCTTTGCTTTGTCTCTTCAACAGGTGTTGCAGCACTAGCCGTGTCATGCCCTTATCTGCGTGAAGTCTATTTTAAAAGATGCAGCAATCTTACAGACAGTGGTGTTCTTGCCCTTGCCCTCAACTGCCCACTTTTACAAATAGTTAATATAGGTGGATGTTTCAGCATCACAGACACATCACTGCAAGCACTTGGACAGAACTGTCAATCCCTACATAGCGTGGATTTTTCATCTACCCAAGTAAGATTAGTGACAATTCTAATACATCTTGCAGAACAGCATAAATGATTAAAAATACAAATTGAGAACTGCCTCATACTTATTGTCACTTATGTTGGCAATTTGATATCTAGTTCCTCTGCCTCTTCAAAACCCTGCCTGTACTTCCGGTAGTTCTTGGTCACATACTGCTGAAGCCTAGCTTGTAGGATTTTGAACATAATTTTGCTAGCATTTGAAATGAGCACAGTTGTACAGTAGTTTGAACATTCTTTGTCATTGCCCTTCTTTGGGATTGGAATGTAAACTGTCCTTTTCCAATCTTCTGGCCACTGTTGAGTTTTCCAAATTTGCTGGCATATTGAGTGTAGCACTTTAATTGCATTATCTTTTAGGATTTTGAATAGCTCAGCTGGATTACTGTCACCTCCACTAGCTTTGTTGTTGCTAAGTCTTCCTAAGGCCCATTTGACTTTACATTTCAGAATGTCTGGTTCAAGATCAGTGACTACACCATCGTGGTTATCAGGGACATTAAGCTCTTTCTTGTACAGTTCTTCTGTGTAATATTGCCACCATTTCTTAATCTCTTCTGCCTCTGTTAGGTCCCTTCCATTTTTTTCCTTTATCATGCCCATCTTTGCATGAAACATTTCCTTCATATCTCTTTTCTTGAAGAGATCTCTAGTATTTCCCATTCTATCGTTTTCCTCTATTTCTTTATACTGTTCATTTAAGAAGGCCTTCTTATCTCCTCTTCTAGCTACTCTCTGGAATTCTGAATTCAGTTGTGTGTATCTTTCCCTTTCTCCGTGATGTTGAATTGTTTGTGTTGTATTTGAACTGAGTTTATTCTGTCATTTTGGAGAGGGTATCCTGGTACTGGTTTTCCTACTCTTTTATTGACCATGAAGGCTACTCCATTTCTCGAGGGATTCTTGCCCACAGTAGTATATATGATGGTCATCTGAATTAAATTCACCCATTCCTGTCCATTTTAGTTCACTGATTTCCAAGATGTCGGTGTTCAGTCATGTCATCTCATGTTTGACCACATCCAGCTTATCTTGATTCATAATGCTTATATTCCAGGTTACTATGCAGTGTTGTTCTTTACAGCATTAGTCTTTCCTTTCACCACCAGATACATCTGCAACTGAGTGTCCTTTCGGCTTTGACCCAGTCGCTTCATTCTTTCTGGTGCAACTTTATTGTGAGCTGCCCCGAGGCTTTGTTGCGATGGGGGTGGCATAAAGATGTTTTAAATAAATAAATAAATAAATAAATAAACTTGTACTAGCCATCTGCTCTTTCCCAGTAGCACATTGGACACCTTCCAATCTGAGGTGCTCCTCTTCTGGCATCATATCTCTTAGCCTATGTCTGTGGGGTTTCCATGGCAAAGATACTGGAGTGGATTGCCATTTCCTTCTCCAGTGGATCACCTTTTGTTAGAACTCTCTGCTATTACCTGTCGTCTTGGGTGCTCCTGTATGGCATAGCTCATAACTTCATTGCATTATGCAAGCCCCGTTGCCATGGCAAGGCAGTGATCCATGAAGGGGCAAGGTGACATACAGCTTTACAAATTAAAGCATACAAAATGTGCAAATTTAAAACACATCAAAACAATTACCTACTAAAATACTACAGCCGAATAAATAACTGAAACACCAGTAACAACCATTAACAGTTTACTTGATATATTAAGAAACTTATATTCTGTGAAATGGAGGAAAGGGTTAACCTGAGGCCAAAATGATGACAATGTTGGCATCAGATGGATCTTGCTCACAAGGGCTTTCCACAGCTGGCATCACTGAAGAGAACCTCTGCCTTGCTGCCATCCTTTGAACTCCGAGGCATTCATGTGTTGGTTGTAGTGCATGTAGAGGCTCATACTGGGAGAGGCTCCACTAGTTATTGTGGTCCTGAATTTGTTATCCAAGTGCAGACATGTTCATGATCTGGTGTGCTGAAGCCCAGTGAGAAATGCAGCAGATGTGTGAAGAACATACCTTTATTCCATTCTGCAGAACAAAATAAGTAGCCAGCAACAGATAACTCCAAAGCTCCCAGACTATTCCTGGTTCCTCCTTTTATAATACAAAATAAACAAGACATCACATGATTATGGTTTCCTTTAAACATTTCCTAACTTAATCAGTTTTTTAGCTGAAACTAGCAACTTTTCCTGTTATTTTCCTATTAAGCTAACTGTCATATTCCATCTGCATCCGGTTTTTCACTATATGATTTGTTTATGCGAGCCATGCTATTCTTGGGGTTCCCGTATGCAATCAGTTTTGCACTTTTGCTGGATTAAGTAACTTATGCTTTTAGGGCTTCTTCATCAGGCTTACTTAGGTTAAAGCCAGCATCTTTAATTGGGCTTGGAAACTTTCCAAGTTCTGTTAATAACCAAGTTAACATGTTTGCCGAGCAGAACAGTGTGCTAAAGGAACAAATCAATTCCACTGAACAGTTTAATGTATTTATTAAAGAGGCAAAAGGAAAAAGTTCAGAAGTAGTCAGTTGCTCTTAAAAATAAAATATTATCTAATTCATTAGCACTCAATGGAACTCACCAAAACAGCTTGAGTTGGGGTTGGAGGCCGGAGGAATTCCAGTGAGAGAGAGAGACTAATGAGCATGGAAAATCTTGCCTGGAGTTTTTGCCAGCTACCTAGCAGATTTCATATACAAATATTTCTGCAGGTGGTGCATATTTTCCTAGAGAGGAAAAATTCAAAATGACCAATCAATAACCAGGGACAGAGTGATGATGCATCTCCCAGGTGATTTCTGTAGTGTCTCTTGAGCATAATGCTGGGTCTACCTGGTATGTCTGTGCAAATGCAGATTTTGAGGACTATCATAACCATACTAGACTTGTTATTTGTTAAATGATTTGTTAAATAATATAATTTAAATAAAGTGTTAAATAATATGTTTCCAGAAAAGAAAAGTGGGGAATGTGGCTTGTTTGGCAGAGTTTACTAATGTGTTGTGCATGGGGTTGCCTTCAACAAGATTTTGGAAACTTCAGCTAGCACAAAACGTTTGTGTCAGAATCTGCTTTCTGATCACATCATCCAATTCTTCATCTGCATTGGCTAATGGTTTGGTTCCAGATGCTCTTCAAAGTGCTGGTTCTTACCTGTAAAGCTCTAAATAGTGTGGTGCTAGTATATTTAAAAGACTGCCTCCTTCAATATCCTGTTCACCCAGTGTATTCACCATCAGAGGCCTTGGTTTGCATTACATCTTTTCCAGAGAGGTCTGATGTCTGACTGGGACATGAGACAGAGGCTTTTCTGTTGTGGTAACCGCAGTGGTTTAAACCGCTGTACTGCTGGGCTGGTTGATCAAAAGGTCACCGGTTCAAATCTACACAACGGGGCGAGTTCCCATTGCTCTGTCCCAGCTCCTGCCAACCTTGCAGTTTGAAAGCATGCAAATGCAAGTTGATAAAAAGGTACCACTTCAGTGGGCAGATAACAGCGTTCCATGCACTTCAGTGTTTAGTCATGCCTTCGGTGTTTAGTCACGCCGGCCATACGACCATGGAGACTGTCTGCGGACAAACGCTGGCTCCCTTGGCTAGGAAACGGAGATGAGCACTGCCCCCTAGAGTCAGGCATGACTGGACATAATGTCAAGGGGAAACCTTTACCTTTACCTTTTAACCATGCTGTAGAATTCCCATCTTAGAGATGTTCAGGTGGCACTTTCCCTTTTTAGTTTTTAAGGAAGCAATCCTATGACCCTGTCCTATGACAGACATTGTCTGAGGAGGCATAAGATTCTGCAAATTCCCACTGCCAAGTGTTCTAACTTTGGAAGGGGGAGTTGGAGGTTTGAATCCCTCCCCCTCACAGTCAGACCAGAAAAAAAGAAAAGAAAAACCCAGCACCAGCTGCCATCTAACATAGGAAAAAGGGGGAAATAGTGGCGTTTTGGTGAGCAGAGAGGAGACTGGAGAGGCCAGGATACAAGTAATCCTCTGTGTTGTGTCCAGTTTGCTTCGCCTTCTTCCAAGTAAACTTGGGCAATGGCTTTTTTTTTTAACTAAAAGGCTTTATAATGTTAATCCTGACTAGCCGGCCTGACTTTAAAATATAAATGAAAAGTATTGGAGAAGTCAGTAACAAAAGAATCAAGGAAAGTTAGGATATTAGGACATTCTATACTATTGTCCTAATTAAATGTTAATTCTAAACTAAAACTCTTCTCCCTTCCACAAGGAAATTACCAGACTACAATTTAAGGGCAGATCTTGTTGTTTAAGGTCAATCACTTGAAACATCTGACACTTCTCAGCTAATCTACTCTATTTACCTTACATCAGATCTGAGGATTAATGATGCTTGGGTTCACCCTCCTCTTCCTAAGTGTGCTCACTAAGCTTTTCCACAGTATTTGCAACTGACTGATTCTCAGTAGCTGACTCCCTGGCTTATATATATCCTCTAGCCTTGGCATTTCATCTGCAGATTCCAACTCCCTCATCCTCTTCTGACTTACCAGCTTTCCTTGAAGGCTCTTTTGTAGGAAGAACGAAACCAATTCCTACGCTAAACCTCTGCCAGCATCTTTCCCTATACCTCTGTAATGTCTTTGCTAAATGGGCGAAAAATCCTGCCCAGTAAAATATGCAGGATGTGAGGACAGTGAGGCAAGGATTGCCTCCACTCCATCCTGCACTGGGATGTGAATCAATCCCTAGTAAACTTTTTTTAGAATTACAGCTGAAATGCACTAAAATGACTAGATGTTTTTTACTTAGAAGGGAATCCATTAACAAAAAAGGCTACTGTTTCTCCAGCAAAAGTTTTTGTATAGAATCATGCACCATACTAACCTCTCTCTCTTCTCCATCTTCATGGACCCAAACTGTGGCTTCAAGGTAATTAAACTCAGCTTCAAACTCAGATGCCTCTGAGTCTGGGGGTTTCCATTCATTGAGGTTGCAGTTATTAGAACTGCTTTCTGAATTACTGTGACTTCAACATTTTGTGTAAGAATTGTTTAGTTTATAAGAAATTTGTCTTTCCTTATGTTTTCATACTGTAGTGTTAAGTTCTGTTTTATTGTACATTCCTTGTTGTTTTTATGCAAGGTAGATTGGGAGGCCTGTTTCAAGGCCAAAAGATAATGTGTGGGTATATATAAACATATTTTCAGTCATTTGGAGAGAAGGAATTATTTTGACGGCTAGCTAAGGCAACATTCAAGATTGTAAAACAAGTGAACTGAAGAAAACCAGACTGCAGCTGTTATATTTTTATTCAATAGTTTATTTAATGCTGTGTTGTTCACAATTGCTGCACTTTTATGCAATGTACCAATAAGAAATCTCTTTTTAGGTTACTGATGATGGTGTAATAGCGCTTGTTAGTGGAATGTGTTCGAAGAACTTAAAGGTATGTTTTCAGCATATTTATTGCAAAGCATTTTTCTTGGTAAATGACAAATTTACATGTCTCAGGGTGCTATCCAAAGGCCTCTGACATCATCTAGAAGGCTGGTTGGATTCTTCAGCAACCAAGCCCCCATCCAACCTCTCTCACAGCTGGTATGGAAAGAAACCGTGCTGGTTGCCTCCCCAAGAGCAGAAATCCACCTCAGAGAGGGAAGGAAAGCATATGCAACGAAGCTCAGACTGTTTACCTATGCCAGTTCCCTGGTGTTTTAGCTAAATACCTGAAATAAAATGCATGCAGTGAGCACAGTGATGGTGGTGATCACTGCTGCCACCACTGTACCTCATTCCACCATGGATGCACATCAGCCTTGGAGTTTGGAGGCTCACATGTACCTGAAGCAGGGGCAATAAAATTATGCTCTCAATAGGTTTAGCAGGAATTTATTTTCAATACTGTTTTTCATTGCTGTAATAGTTGATGGTAGCATTCATTCTGATTAATAGGAGATCCATATGGACCAGTGTGTGAATCTGACTGATGTAGCTGTGGAAGCCGTCCTCACTTGCTGTCCAATGATATACATCCTTCTGTTCCATGGATGCCCACTTGTAACAGGTAATTTGAAGCACTGCCTGGGGCAAACAGATCTAGCCATTTGGACACCCTAAAATGGAAGTCAGAAGAGAGATATCAAGAAATAAATATCAAGATATCTGAACTCTACCTAAGATTGTGATTCTGGTTTGTGGGTAAATTGTAGTTTGAATGAGCCACAGTTTACCATGTTTGGACACAACAGCAAACAAAGGGGAGGGGATTCACAACAGGTGAATAAATAGTAGTTGTACCATCCTCTTCCCCCCAAAAAATTTCAAAGTGGTTTAAAATAGATTGAAATCAGAGCAATAACAAAACAATTTTAAAATAATCCAAACGAAACACAGAAAACGGCAAAAGAACAAGAGCAGAAAACAGTGGTGGTGTTGCCAGAAGAAAAGTATGTTGTGATGTTGCCAAAAGCATGTTGAAACAAAAATGACTGGAAGTGCAAACCTGTCCACTCAAAATTAGGCTTTGCTGAGTTCAGTGGGACTTCCTCCCAAGAAAGTGCTTATGTTTGTTGCCTTAAAGATTTATTTGCAGAATATGAAAAGAAAACATGAATTGCAGAAGCCAACAAAACATTCATTGAAAAAGCAGCATCTACTTAATTTTCTGTTTGGTTGCTTAGTACAGTGGCCTTGTAGAAAGATAAAGGAATCCCATTCCTCCCTCAGAAGCTATTTGTTTATATTGCCTCCCAAATATTTTCTTATTCTAAAGAAAACTGATTTTTTCATTGTCTTGCAGATCGGTCCCGAGAAGCTCTAGAACAGCTGGTTGGATCAAACAAATTTAAGCAGATCTCATGGACTGTTTATTGATTGTTTAAAGTTGCAGACGATATTTCTTTGTGAGGAATGAAGCATTTCTAGAAATATTTGTCCTCCAGTGATGTAGAGTGTAGTGGTTCTCATGGGCCCAGGTGCTATTTATGTTCTTTTTTGCATTGGTGCTATGCCTGGTGATATTCTCAATAAGAATATTGTTTCTGTGTTCATAGAAGAACAATATTTGACGGTTCTAATCACTATTCCAGAATCTTTATGTTCAAAAGTCCACTTTGTACTAGCAAATGGACAAGAGTAAATAAGGACATGAAGGATGTAGAATGAACAAACAAGATATGGGAACAACCACTGCATAATGCTGCCAAGCTGCTTGGCAGCCAGTTTGATGGGAACCAGTTATGTTTCAAAGTAGCATTATCACTGGAGCGATGTTCTCTTCAAGTTGCTCTTCACATTGAAATAAAAGCTCCCACCTCGCAAATGTGTTTTCTTTCATTCTTTTAGTCACCAAAACAAAATTCACAAATTTTCTTACTTTATTTCTAGTGAAAATAATCTTGAGCTGACAGCACCTGGCTAGGATGCCAACATCTGGTCCTCTGAAGAATATAGCGACTCCTAGTGTTGCCTGCTTTACCAGCAGGGAGCTGAGGACCCCCGACTTAACAAGTACGAATAAAAATCTGGAGACAAGACACAGTATAGGCAAGCTTTATTCAGGTGCACACTGAACAAAGCAAAGGTACAGAGTATTGCAAATCGTCCCTTCTCAAGCAAGGGTTTCAATATGACTTTATATACCTTTGGCTAAGACAATGCTACTTCCTACCTCTAACCAGGGCCTCTAGCTGTAATTTTCCATCACACAGTTTCTTCCTGACTGGATACAGTCTATCTAGCTGGGGCAAACCGGTCTGGACCAGTTCTGCAATTGCCATACTTCCTGTGCTGGTTAAGGGTTCACTTACAGTTCAGCATTCCTCTGGAACTCTTATTAGACCTTCAAGAAGCCTTAGTTAGGCCAACATTAGGATACTGACCTAGTTTGATTGGTCCTAGTAAAACGATTGCCTGACTCTGAGCTTTAGGATTTTGCTGATGGACATGGTTATCCTGCTTTCTGTGTTACTAGGAGGTATGTTCCTAGCAAGATTTGATAGGTATTTTTGTTTTCTTACTAAATACTGTATATACACATTTGAACATGTCTTTTCACGCAGCACGTGTCTTAACAGGAAGGGGTTTTCCAATAAAAGCTTCAAAGGAGATTTGAGTATGTTGTCTATTTGCAGAGTGGTACTGCCTAACATGTTCAGAAAAAGTGCACAGTTAAAGTTAAGGAGAGTTACTGTCAATTAATAGAGTCTTGGTCTGGCTATGGTCAGAATGCTGAACTGATGTCATGACTCAGAAAAATGAACAGGAATCAGACATCTTGGGCCTTTTGATAACCATACAGTGTTCCTGCCAAGCATAATAGAAGGGGAAACTGTTCTGTTTGGGAGAATATAGAGAAGATGCAAGCAGAGGGAACTTCTTGAAATATCAGTGGAGATATTTGCTTTCCCTCTCTAGACAACAGGTTAATAAAAACCTGATAAAAATACATATGCGTTCAGCCTTGTTGAAACCATACAGCTTTACTTCATTCATCTGCATGCACTGTCTTTGGTTAATGTAATTTGTATTCTTGCTGCCATCAATGAGGGATATTCCTGAAATTTGGAAATAGTTTAGTAATCGGTGAAGCGTTCACTTGTTGTAGGTATCTACGTAAGGTCATTTTTTCAGCTTTTGTTTATGACTTAGAGCATCACTGTAAGCAAAGCATAAAACCAAGGGTAACTCATACCAGAATTGGTCTTTGTTACGTAAGTTCCAGTTTGCCAAATTGACAGGAGTCAATTTCATATAGTCAAATTGATATAGTCTTGGTTTGCACAATCATGGTGGCTTGTTTAAGCCATGGTACCTGCCAGGGGCAGTTTGTCTAATTACTTGCTAAGGTACAGCTTTGTTGTGTTATGAAAATCCTAAAAAAATCATTGGAAGTATTGTAGCCTAGTGATCCTTTGCATGGGAGAGAGTTAATGCCAAGTGCCTGAATATAATAAGGGGTGGGGTGGGGAACCTAGAGAAGGCAACAATCCTCTCTATCTCACAAGACGATGACCAACTGTGGGAATGGAAATGTACTGCTTCTTGCTTTGCTACACACAAGAACCTTGTACTTTGTCATATATAAGGTGTTTGATGATTGAGAGACAGACATCCCTGTACTAGCTTGTCCAGGGGAGATCTCTCCCTCACTGTTAGATATTTACAAAATAAAGGACTGATGGCTTGCATCTTATCCACTGGGCTGAGAATTTTATTGGTAAATTCATTTTCTTTGATATTGGCATGGTGGCAGCTTACCAGATACTATAAAAAGTACTGTTGCACTACCGTTTAATATGAGAATTTGTTACAATGTGATAAATTGTGAATTATGGACCAGGTAGGTTCTGTATAGATGATGTCTGAAAAAATAACATATTAAATAAATGTCCAACTGATCTAGGGGTTGGACACTATTATAAAGACTGAACATCTCTGAACAAAATCTGTTCTTTCTGAATCAATTACATAATGTAGAAAAGTCACATTCAGTGATGATAAAGATGAAACTATGGAAACAATTTCTATAAAAAGGCAAGGAAAACATAGCAAAGCCAGATAACTCTACCTAGTACAGGACTAATACACCTCATATACATTTTGAAGAATACAGAGATACAAGAAAAGCTACATTCAAACTTCTTCAGAGCAGACACAACTGCTCAATTCATAGTCTCATCATATCAGCAGATTCTGATCCTTTTTTTATCACAGTCCTTCAGTACTTCCTACAAGACCTATTAATGTTCAAACAATGAAAGCTGCTTGCTTCATCAGTGACAAAGAATGTTAAAAGAGAGTGACATGGGGCAGGGTACAAATGAAACCATTTAAGAGATTTTTGATCATCTGTGTATTTATGCAGAATTAAGACTCAGTATTTATTTATGAAAGGGACTGCAGGTGGCGCAGTGGTTTAAACTGCTGTGCTGCTGGGCTGGTTGATCAAAAGGTCACCGGTTCGAATCTGCACAACGGAGTGAGTTCCGGTTGCTCCGTCCCAGCTCCTGCCAACCTTGCAGTTTGAAAGCATGCAAATGCAAGTAGATAAAAAGGTACCACTTTGGTGGGCAGGTAACAGCATTCCATGCACTTCGGTGTTTAATCATGCCAGCCACATGACCACGGAGACTGCCTGCGGACAAACGCTGGCTCCCTCGGCTAGGAAACAGAGATGAGCACTGCCCCCTAGAGTCAGACATGACTGGACAAAAGGGGAAACCTTTACCTTTTTTACCTTTATTTTTTTATGTATTTTATTTATATATCACCCCATAGCCCAGTGGGATCTCTGGGCATCTTATAAGAACAACAATAAAAAATAAAACAATAGAACCAACAGTACAAGAATAAAATCCACTAAAAAATATAAAATCTGATATTCAAGGCAAAAGGTCACACTGAGCACACAGCAATAAGTAAAGTAATGTTAAAAACCAGGTTAGCTACTAAAAACACCTGTTAAATCTTTACCTCATGCTGGAAGACAAGCAGGGACAGCACCAGGCACATCTCCTTGGGGGGGGGGGTCTTCCATAAGTAGGGTGCAATCACAAAAAAGGCCCTTCTGCTAGCCATTTCTCCCTTCGCTTCACTGAGCGATGGTTTTTGGAAAAGAACCTCCATTGTGTGTTCAGTGCTATGCGTATTTCCAAATTAAGCAAGCATAGGACTGCGGCGTTATGGGGATATTCATTTTCAACATTAGTGAAAGGAACAAGAAAACTCACCTGATGGACTACAAGGTAAGATACGTTTATTAACATTGTCCCAAGCAAAACAAGAACTAAGAACATGAGAAAAGGCACACTGGATTATACCAAAGGCACTTCTAATACACCAACCTGTTTCCCAGCTGGATGTCTCTGGGAAACCACAAACCTTACATGAAAGGGTTGATCCTTCTCATCTGTTGCTCTCCAATTACTAGCCTTCATGAGGTCAACTGACTTTGATTCTGGAGGTTGTACTTTGCTAACCTGGCCAACAGCTGTCAACAGAAACATCCTTCATTTACATCCTTTATTTACATGATTTACTTTCATGCAAAGTTATTTGTTAAAAGCTTAGCCCCAATTTGGCATGCACATATCTTTTTTCAATGGCCTTAAGGAGGCATTATAACACAAAGTGGTTTTTAAATTGTTCTTAACTGTTTTCCTATTCTGTGCAGCTGCATCTTCTGTAGGTGCAAATCTACAGTGAGGCATGGAAGTGGGTCAGAGTGTATATATTGACCCCAACAAGAATATGAACTGCCAGAAATGGAATTGAAGTGGTTCAAGTAGCACAAAATAATCCAGTGTGTCTGAGTCTGGAAGCCACTCAGAGTCAAGGCCGGTAGTGCCAGACTATGGTACTTGTTGAGCCGTTGTTTTCTTGCTGTGTTATCTGGGGCAAGGCATACTCACTGACTTTGTGCAACTGTTTCTGAATCTGGTGAGTCACTAAATAGGGCCGACCGGGGTCCCCAATCAGCACTTTAGTTCCATGGACTTGGGTGCATTTCTTCAACCACTGATGGAGGCTGTCTGCAAGTTCTTCACTGTAAAACATGTCCCCTAGGACAATAAGATCCCAGGCGTCCATCTCAGTACCAATCAGGTTCTTGGTTACAACAGGGAGGGGATCCATATTGTTCAATTCACAGTTCAGCACCATGGCAGCTGCTGCAACTGACATGAAAAGCAATGGCATTAAAAAAAGATTAGTGTAGGAACTGCTTACTTGGGAATCCCACATGGATTGATCTGTTTTCTAATGTTTCTGACCCTTTGCTGAATAAAACTTTCCTTGCTAAAATAGTTTCAACAAGATATCCTACAACTAGGATAATGGGCTTCTCTACATGAGGCATTTAATTGGGTGCTACATTTTGTCCATTTTCATTGCAACTGAGCTCTTCATGGTCCCTTTTTTGTTTCAACCACCTAAAATAATTTGGTTTCATCAAACATGGCCAACTCACTGCTCACTCCTAATTGCAGCTCATTAATGAACTTTCTCAAAAGCAAAGATTCTAATACCCATTCCAGTCAGACACCATGATTTTCATCCCACCACTGGGAGAAATTACTGTTTATTCTCTGCAGAAACTCTTTGTTCTTTAATCAGTTACTGATCTATATGAGGACTCTTCGCTTTTTTCATGACTGCCAAGTTTGCTCAAGAGTCTTTGATGAAGGACTTAGTCAAAAGCCTTTTAAAAGTCCAAGTCAACAATGTCAGCCAGACCCCCCTGTCCACATGCTTACTGACAAATAAGTGAGGTATGGCTTTACCTTTCTGAAAACCAGGCTGATTTTTTCAGCAGGGACTGTTCTTCTATATACTTCCTAATTTAATACTGAATAATTAGGAAGCAACCAATTTAATTACATGGAACAGACAATAAATTAACAGGCCTACACATTCCCAGAGCTCCCCCTTTTTAAAAAATTGGTGTTACATTAGCCATTTTCCAGTTATCTGATACAGAGGCTGCTCTTAGGGGCATATTATATGTTTGTTTAGAAAAACAGAAATTTTAAGTTCTTTAAAATATGCCTGCTGCTTTTCTCCACTGAGGCACCACTGCACGGGGGAGTATCTTACCAGGATCAATGTCGCTGGCGACAACCTGCAATGCGCCACTCATCACGGCCGCTATGGCTGTTGCACCACAACCACTTCCAACATCTAGAATTTTTTTCATTCTGACAACTTCGGGGTTGTCAAGAAAGTATCTGAGAATATTTGGAAAAAGAAGAACAGTAAATACAATATTCATGACAAAGTTTGTTGTATCAGCCTATTATTAGCCTATTTCTGTGCTCCTTTTCAAGAGAAACTTATCTGTCCTAATGCAGGTTACAAAGCATATAAAACCCAGTTGTTTTGGAGCTTGCAAACCAAACCTGGGGTCCCAGTCTAGCTCTCTGAAAGTACACCGAAAGTGCCAGCCCCTTTCCTCTGATGACCCTTTCCTTTGGTGGTTTTCCAGCTTTTCTGCAGTTTCTGTCTCCTTCTAAAAGGCTGAACTGCTGCTTCTAGAACTTACTGGCATTAAGTTTGCTAAGATTTTAGTGTTTTGACCTACCACTGTTTAGCCATACCCACAACTGAAATGAGTAGCCACCCTCCATCTTAAAAACAGAATTTAGCCCTTGTGCTGAAAGAACTTAAACAACCCTGATATAAGCCTTCTGGTGCTCAGTCTGCTATACCTAGATAATGCTTGGCCTCCAGGCCAGTAGATGGCCCAGTAGGGGTCACCATATGGCCACAAGGCACCTTTCTCATGCCAAAATCGGCAGCGCGGAGTCAGAAGGCGCAAACTTATTTCTGGCGTGAGGTTCCCACTGTGGACGACTTCAGTGTTCTTCTCTATAAATGTTCTCATCTCTGGATCCAGGGGTCTTCCATTGGTCTTCCAGTGACAACACCTCCAGAGCAAACAGCTGCTTTGGTTCTTTTGCTTTAAGCCTTTTCGGAAGATGCCTCCACCCCATAAGTGGGGCAGCCTCTGTCTCCAGCCTGTGAAAATCATGTATTCTCCCACACTTGGCAAACTCCTTTCCAACTTCAAACCGTCAGGAATATTTCCTGGGAGCAGGAAATATCAAGATTGCAGGGAGGGGTGTGTGAAAACAACTCTGCATCAATGGTGGCTTTCAGAATGCATGGGCAATCGTTCCTAAAATCAAAAGAAGAGATTATCCAGTGATCATGAGATCACAAGCTGATTGCACAAATGAGTTCTAAGGAAGACAGTGCTCTTACGAACATACAAGATTACCATTAGTTATTAGTATGTTAAATCTTTTGAATAAAACATTTAACCCTTTCTCTGAATTGTTTTATACATACTTGAATAAAATAGCAATAAGCTAAGATCAATGGTCCAGTAGTCCTGCTTATTTTGGCAGGTGGCAGATTCCATTAGCCGGAGATAAGCAGGTCTGAACCTTATTGGTGCTGGTGTTGTACCACTGAGCTACAGTGGTTCTCTGGTTTATTTATTACATAGGCTTCAGTTTCAGGAAGCCAGACTCCAGCTAGATATCGGGGGGGGGGGGGGTCCTGTTAGAGGAGTATGGCAATGGAACAAATTACCTAGGGAGGCTGTGGGATCTCCCACACTGGAGGCATTCAAGAGGCAGCTGGACAGCCATCTGTCAGATGCTTTAATTTGGGGTCTTGCAATGAGCAGGGAGTTGGACTTGATGGCCTTATAGCCCCTTCCAACTCTACTATTCTAGTTTAATTATCATACTTATGGTTTAGTAATGTCTTATCTGCTATAGACAATAAATGATCAACCAACTCCTTCCCAACTATTAAGCACATACATGTTGCCATCCATATGCCCCTTGCACCATTTTATAACTCTGCAAGTAAATTATTATTATTATTATTATTATTATTAACATTTCTATGCCGCCCCTTGCCGAAGCCTTGGGGCGGCTTAAATCATACCAGCTCTCTCTGATACATTTTGCTTGCATTACAACTTTGAGTTTCTTCCTGTGCCTCCATCTGCTGGCTGACAAGCAGAAATTGGACAGATGCAATTTTTTTCTGGCATGACAACATGGCAGTTAAGAAATTCCGGCTCAAGCCTTTGCCCGATGCACAGTATGGAAAAAGTCACTGCAGCCCTGCGAGAAAAAGGGTTGTAATGCCCCAACCAGTGAAATGATTTGACAGGTTCCCTTCCCCTCTCCGTTGTTCAGGTTCCAGGTCAAAGGCTTAACCAGCTTTGTGTTAACCCAATTATACTTTCTGCTCTCCTAGAACAATTAATTCCTCTTGTCTAGGAAGATTCCTAGAGCTACCACCTTTTCCATCAGTACCTGCTCCTGTGCGTCTAACAATAATTTAAACTAAAGAAATCAAGAAGTAATGATGTTTAACTCCCTAAAGCAACAAGTTTTAGGGAAACTAGCTGATTTTTACAAGTAGCTATGAAAGACAGAGACTTTGTCAGGTTAGTGCAAGAGTGTGTGTGTGTGTGCGCGCGTGTTAGCATGCATTTGTTTCTCTTTGGGTCAGATTAGAGCTTTCGCGCATCAAACCTACAACTGAATAGCACAACACATGCACTCAGTAAACTTAACTGACTGCTGGAAAAACAACTATCTGAAATTTTACATATTACCATGTGGAATTCATCTGATTTTGTGAGTCTTGGAGCACCTTAACGGCTAGCAAATTTTTCGTAGCATGCATCCATAAAGGCACATGCTGCAGAAAATGTGTTTGTCTTTCAGGGTCCAAGCCTTGTGGTTGCTTTGGCTGCAGCGGACTAACCCAAGGACAACTCCGGCAGCGGCAGCGGGAAGAGAATTCAGTTTGTAATTGTCGTGTGTTGTCCTCTGCAATGCAAATAGCTTGATTTCTCCGAGAAAAGTGACACAGAAACGCGTCTCGGCTCTAATGCCACCCGCTGCCTTCCAGGTAGATTGGGCTCTGGGGGAGTTGCCCGGCACATCTGCAGGATACTTCGTCGGGGACCCCTCTTAAAGTCACCTTTATCATTCTTACTTCTTCTGGTAACTCCCCCTGAGGAAAGGTCCTATGTGAGAGCAGAAACGCGCAGCAGTGCCAGCGAAGCTGCGCCCGGGTATGGGCATGCTTGCCAGAACTCCCCTTCCCGCCAGCAAGGGGCTGAGGCATTTGCCCCATTAAGGTTGGCGCCGCTTGAAAACTCTGCGGCTGCCCTGGCGCAGGAAGCGCCGCAGTTTCTTCCGGCTCCCCGCGGCACGGACATCAATCACAAGCTTCCTTTAAACCAAGCATGAGCCACCGTCCTCACTTCCGGCTCTCATTTGACTTGCACTGTATGCAGGGAGGAGCGTGGTGGTGCATTGACCAGCCGCTCCGTCCAATACTCTTATGAATCTCGATGGTACTTGTACTTTTTTTGGGTTGTGTTGCGTCACGGGGTGCCTTTCACGTTCAAATGGGAACCGGAAGTGTATCCTCCTCCTTTAGCGATAGTTAATTAGCATGGTTTAGACTCTAATCAGTCCAAAGCAAAGTTAACCAGGGAGCTTCCTGGCTGAGTAGAGATCAGAATCTGCCTCTCATAATTCCCAGGCCAGGACTTGTAACTAGTGCACCACAAAGGCTCTTTCTGCTTTTGTGATCCAAACAGGTTCTTTCCTGGTTGGGCTCCTTCCTTCCTTCCTTCTTTCTAAATCCTGCCTCTGCTTTGTACCTTTCTCTTCAGCCTGGAATGCATGCAGCAATGCAGCTGCTTGCTGAAGCTCTTCCTGGCATGGAGGCTGCTGGTGAAGGCAAAGTTTGCTCGTTATGTGAACTAGGCTAGCAGCACAGAATATCCGCTTATCGCTTATTGAACCTAACCCACCCTTGCGCACGACACACCTAATTGCTAACTACTTTATCTGAAAGGTACAGGGTATACCCCTACCCTCTCAGAGTCACACAAGCATGAGCATGCGAAACCAAAAACAGGAACCAGGTGGTGATAGAGATGCACAAGAAGCACGAGCACAAGGTCAGGCAGGGAAGATAACATGACTATACCGGATACCAGCGACAATTAGGGGTGGTCAGCAGAAACTGTGCCAAGAGACGTGCCAAAGACATACGTTAGTACTTTTCCAGAGATAAAGAAATGCTATAAAAAGGCTTGTAATACCGTACATCGGGACCGCACTTTACTAAAGTGTTGGTCCCTTCGCAGGTACAATAAAGGAGCTGCTTCTCTCCACTCTGGTCTTGTGGTCTGTTTGCCAAGGACTGACTAGGCGTCCGCTGGGATACAACATTATGGTTTGTTATGTTGTTATGTGCCATTCAAGTCATCTCCAACTACGAATGAAAACCCTCCAAAATGTCCTATTTATGACACCCATGGATAGCTGTTCTAAATTTAAGGCTGTGGCTTCCTTTATGGAATCAATTCATTTCAGGTCTTAATTTTCTTCTTTTGCCTTCAACTTTTCATAACATGATTGCCTTCTCCAGAGAGTTTTGCCATTTCATTGAGGAGCAAATCAATAGCTATGAAATTATATAGGTAAATCATGCAGTCATTGGCAAGAGCTAGACACTGCTGGCTAGGGGAAGCTCTACTTTTAGCAAGCTGCATGTTTTTTCCTGAATTGTTTAGGTGGTATCTCAAAAGAGGCCAGTTGATATAAGATGCAGCTAGAATAATTGACGCATTTCTCCTCATCTCCAAAGTATCGCCCCATCCTCCTATCTCTGAGGAACATTCCCTTCCATCTTTTTCCTACTTTGATATGCAGAAGTCACATCCTTGTAACTACCTCTGTAGGTTATTAGGCAGCATTAACTGTAATGTTATGGGCACAAAGTATGGCAACCTTAGTTTTGTCATTTTTGCTTCTGGGGAAAGTTTTGGGTTGGCGGTTAGGGTTAACAATAATGCTGCATGACACGTAACATTGTTATTTTTCAGCTGCTATGAAACACAGAAGGGCTTTTCATCTTTAGATAAGGGGATTGTAAAAAAAGTAATGTAAGAGTGCCATTGGACTTTTTGACCAAATGGTCAGTGTCCTTGTGTGTGTACAGGCAAAATACACAATGGGGGACAGTTTTCTGTTAAAGGATGGATTCATGAGAATAACCGGCTACCAACAAATTGTTCCAGGTGGCACACCTGAGCAGTCCTCTGTTGGCCTTTTTATACATTGATCATTAAAGGGTTACATGTAATAGTTATCACTCAGTAGGTTGCAGGAGCAAAAAGTTACAGTGGAGTGATCTGGAGTGGGAAGCTGGGGCGCTGTTCAATAGGAGAGGAGGGGGATGGGGTGGGCTGGTGTGAATTGCCCTTTGTTTGGCTGCTGTTATCTGTCAAGTGCCAACTAGCTTTCCCTGGACTGGTGCCTGGTCAGTGTCAGCTGCATTTCAAGGATAGAGCCTTCCGATTCCTAGAAAAGAGGGTTTTTCTCAGGCCTGGTTATGTGTTGATGATTGCATGATTTAACCAATGAAAGTTCTACCTATTGATTTGTACATCAGTTTCCTGGCTTCGGAGCTAAGCCACATCAAGTGTCCTAAGCACAATGGGCAAGCCTCTTGAGTTATGCAGGCTGGATATTTGGAAATAAAGAAATGCCATTTGTATCTGGCCATGCTATGGTGTGATAAATGAGCAGCTGAGCCCATCCTCGGTCATCCTTCAGGCACTGCCTGAAATGGGAATCTTAAAAATCAAAATATCAGAATGGAAAAAAATCATGATTAGCAATATTTTATTGGGTTTGTCCCTATACATTTGGCAGCAGATTTAATATACAGAAAGTGAACCAGTGAAGCATCCGCCAACTTGCTCTCCATGTTGGAAAGCATTTCGCCTAGCACATTTCTTTTGGTAAGGCTGCTGTTAAATGCACAGGAGCATGGGAGGGCGGGTGCTGGCAATCTGAGTGGCAGAGGAATTAAGTGTTGTGAGGTGTAGCAATTCTCACCTCACAGCTGAAGGAGACGCCCTCAGCCTTGCCAGAAGTCAACACACAAGGAAGACGATAGCGATATTCTTCCCAAGCTGCAGGGAAGGAATTGATGCTGGCCTACTTCATTCCATGACCTTTCCATTACCAAGGCAACAAAGCTTGTGTTCTGGAACTTTCCACTGTGCAGAACATTCTTTTAAAAATACAGAAATCCTTGTTTGCTGCATGAAGGTGGGACTTAGGATGGATGCTTTAAAATATAGGTATTATTCTGTTTGATCTGTAACACTCTTTCAGCAAAGCTAAACATCAGTGAAAAGCCACCAAGAATACAAAACAAGAGTAGAACCACAAAATACATCCATGAAAGGGACAAAACAAAACAAGGACACATGTACATACATACATACACCATATAGCCACACAGTAACAATCAGAGATAAGTTGAACTGGTCTTGGAAGTATCACTAATAACATAGATGTATACATATCTGCTCACACATATGCATAAAAAGTTCCTGTTGCGTATCATTAATGTAAGTTGACCAAATGTCAGAAGGAGCGTGGAGACAAGGTTGTCTTCAGCAGCAGGTTCCCCCAGAGGAGGCCCGATGTTGTGAGGACTTCAGTCCACTGCATGGTTGACGGTGCTGACGGGTCTCCTCATTCCCGCAGTAGGAGCCTCTTAGCCACTGGGAGGGCTGCCACAGGCCTCTTGCGGTGCGGAGGATACCTTCCAGGATGTGGGACTGCAGCTCAGTGATACATTGCCATCTTTAAACAAGAATGATGTATTTAGACAAAGTTGATGTGTCTGACAGCTTCTGTTCAGAAGGGGCATCTCCATATGACGTGCACTAATGACACTCCTGCCATCCAATACGCCACCATTTATTAGAGGGTGATCCTTTCCTCTCCCTGAAATGGGCACCGTGGACTCCAATATGCCCCAAAGAGCAGCTTTTGCTGTATAAGGCACAGTTTCAGGTCAGGGGACACGGATGGATTCTTAACTCCTGTCAGATCCATAAGTTCAATATCATAATGCTCATACCATATGGATCTACAGGTTTGTATCCAAAGTTAGTCCTGCTTAGAGCCAATAGGACTATGCTTGGCTATAACCCTAGGCCTTGAGCTTCTTAAATGTTTGAGGTTATGAGGACATCTAGTGGTCACAGGTTGGACATACAAGGCAGACTGAAATTTATACTCCCTCTATCAAGAACATTTCTAACAGGACTGGATCAGGCCTTTTCCGATTAAGTAATGCAAGAGAAAAGATTGTTCTTGTGAGCAGAGAACTGGGGCAGCTAGAAATACCAAGGACCAAGAAATACCAAGGAAAACAATGGGCTGGCAGGCTCTTGTGTATGTACCTGTGTAAAACGCATATACCCGAATTTTAAGCTTACCTCCATGGAAAAGGCATAATGAAGCAATCAGCATAACCAAGTACTTTTAAAGGGCAAAGGTAACAAATTAAAGCTCTGGGATGGAGACATGAAGTAAAACAATATCCCCAACGTGGTGCCCTCTCCCATCTCACTGAATCGGCATGGCCAGTGGGCACCAAGTTAAGTAAGGTTGAAAACCCTCCATCGTTAGCAGTTTCGTCTACTTCTGTACTGTAAGCATGACCTCCTGAAGCGATGGGACCAGGCAGAAGACTGTTTAACAGCTAGCAGGTGGATTTAGGTGTAAGTAGCAGGACTGACTTGGGAGGGTTGTGTTCTCACTGCACTTTTCCCCTCTGTGGGCCTTGGAGACAATGATGGACAACTATCTGGATCTTCCCTAGTTTAGCACTCTCTGGCTATGTTGGACTACAGCTCCAACAGCACCGACTGGGGATTCTGGAAGTTGTGGCATGACACAGGTGGAAGTCACCAAATTGGTCTCAAGGTTAGGTGCTGCTGGTTGGTGTGTGTGACCCATCAAAATGCAGGGGACCGTACCCTAATGAAGTACTTGCAGGTACAGGATTAGTGATACAAGCCATACGGACATGCCCCATTCATGACCCTGAATGCAGATGTGAGCAGGGACATGTTTTCTCTGAAAATGTTCTACTTCTGAATCGGAGATCACATTGGAAAGCATGCGCACTTTTAAAATAATTTAAAATTTCAATTTTGCAAAGTTGCACCTTTTTGCACATTAGTCTATGGCAGGAGTCCTCAAACTTTTTAAACAGGGGGCCATTTCACTGTCCCTCAGACAGTTGTGGCGCTGGACTATAGTTTTAAAAAAATATGAACAAAT